GGGGACTCCAAGTGGCTGGGTCCGGGAGACAGCCGTGCTGCAGGGGGGGGGAGGGGGCTTCCCCGACGCCCCCTTTCGCGACCGGATGGAGGTCTTTACGGGCCTCGCCGTCCTCCTGCGGAGCGCGGCGACGGGGCAGCGCTACGGGCCCCTCGAAAATGCCTTTTCGATCCACGCCGTCAACACTGAGTCGACATCGGATTTTACCCCGTATTACCCATCAGGCGAGAATCATTTGAATGACATCGATGACGAGGAGGGGATTTCCCCCGACAGCCTCTCGTACGAGGTGTGGGCGTACATTCTTTCTTGTGTCCAGGAGCTTTATGAGGAGATGGAAAGGTTCATGGCTGACCATCAGGCGCTCGCATTAGAACCGGAGTTTGAGTGCTGGGAGGGGATGATTATCACACTACGCTGTGTGATGGATTTCTGTGCACTCCACATCCAACAACACAACATAGCGAACAATGAGGATGTGAGAAAGCTCTTTGACGAGGCCGCTGCCTTCCTCTCGAAGCTAGTGGAGGAAAGTAAAAGTCGCTTTAACGGACGTTTTAAAATTTTGTGGCTTCAAGAAACGTGAAATTGCTAGTGGAGCCTACCTTAGTGGCGTGGTGGTGGGAAAGATGTGTTGCCTATCTCAATAAAAGTACTTGAAACTTCCCGTGCAGACTTGGGGAATAGAACAGGATGGTCCGAAGGAGGAGGAAAAACACTGAGATTCCTAACTTACTTTGAGAAGAATGTCATCATTTCTTACTGTGCGTGAGGAGAAGAGTGGGGTATCTGAAATTTATCAACTTTGACGCTAATGTGTTTTTGATCTTCCTTCTTCTTTATTTATTCCTCTCATAAAGTCCTACATACGCTCTTTTTTTTCCCCGTGATATGCGTTCTGGAAGTGCGCGCGCTGCAGGAAGGTCTCCGTTCGGGGCAGGAGGAGCCCCTGATCTGACTCAAATACTCAAGCACCTTCCTACCCTCCTCAAGGTTGCTCGTCAGATCCCGGGCATTTTTTTCGGTTTTTTAGTAACTATGGTCATTATGCTCGTTTTTTTAGGAAAGAGACGCTTTCAGGAGCAGATTATCCCTGTTGCTGGGTTTCATATCCTTATGCTCTTTTTCATACGGGAGCTGTTAGTGGCGTGGAAAGTAGGTCAGCAGAGGCTGGCAGCGGTGTGGTTTCAAAAAGACATCGAAATATCTTTAACAAAGGATATAGGAATGCAGTACAAGGTCTCTTTAGACTAATTGAATGTGTCAAATAGACAACAAAAAAGAAACCGCGGGCGAGTAGAACTTCATATATATATATATATGATAGGTCTCTGTTGGACTAATAACATACACCGCGTGGGCTGTATAAAATTGTTGAGGTGATATTTAGATGGATCTACACAATATGCATGTCCAGCATACATTCCAAAAAAAACTGGAGCAAATAATTGCACAATTGTCATACCATCCTACTTTAGTCCAAGCTATTTAAAAACTGCGTACGATATCATTCGTTACATCTTTTTATAGGTGCATCTATGCGCTTAATTTTGTGATATATTTTTATATAAGTAGTAGGGTTTTATTCTAAGCTTTTTATTTTTCTTTATCCAACAGTGGATGATAACTTTGCTATGTCCACAAGTCGCATTTCTCTTGGATGGGCATGCTTTCTGTGAATTGATGCACCATGCAGCTACTTAATCAGTTCATTGGCCGTGGCTTAGGTTCATCTGACTATTATTATGCCCTATAACACTACTACGGATCCGTAATCAGTCTCCGATGATGTTTCCTTTGGCTCCGCGGCTGCATCAACAGTGGTCCGGGAGTCTTTGTACGAAAACGGGGCGGATACGCTGGAGGTTGAGCTCAACCCCTCCTCCGTCAAGTGGCTGGAGTCGGTGAAGTCCCTGTCTTCCCAAGGCCGGCGAGTGGGTCCAGCGGTAGGTCGATTTCATGTGTGAGTTGGCCGCCGGCCCGGGTACTAGGGAGGTCGCTGATGCCGCGCCCTCTTCACCTTCCGTAGTGGCATTGTCCGGGTCTACAACACCGCCTCTGAAAGTGAAAAACGTGGCGAAGAGGCGGCATTCCGCGTTCTTAACTTTGCGCGGGTGCAGTGAGTTGTGTTGAATGTCGAGAGCCCCCAGGACTCTCTGCTCTACGCGGTGTTTGACTTTCCGATGCGTACGCTTTTTCACGAAAAAAACATTCCCAGTGACGACTTTAATCAAGACGATCACATCGCCACTACACGCAAAGTGGTGGTAGCGGTGGAGGGCGCGTTTTTCCTTATGAATATGATCGTTTTCTTAGCGGTGTTTTATCGTTTGCGTAATCAAACCAAGAAGTACACCGATAAGGTAAACTCAACAGAGCCGACAGAATCCATCCAGTCTATGAATGAAATTCCATGTTGATCCAAGGCGGTAAGTATACATACTTTATTTTCCTATACCATGTGTGTCATACAATGCAATATATTATCATTGCTGTTATTACTATTATGGTTATCCTTAATTTTCTATACTCTAGCTGTACGTGGTCTCATAGACTCTGGGACAAAACCTTTATCATGTTCGCTCCTCACAATGGGGCATCCTTCTCATCAATGACGCTCATTATTTTTCCTTCCATCGTCACTTGTGGTCCTTCTCGTTGGCGGCGTTGTGGTAAGTCACCTGTGCCTCAAACGAATCCTTTGTCATTTCAAAGAACAAGAAAAAAGGATCTAACCAAAGAAGAAGCAGCCACACATCATTCGTCAAAGTCCAGTCTACGTTTTCTCCACCCCAGGGAAGACTACACTGTGCGTCACAGAAAAGGACCCATTCAGCAAGCCTCCCTC